TCAAAAGCTGGGATAAGGAATGGAAAGAGTACTGTGGGAAAAACAAAACAAACAAAAGGAAATCACAGTGAAAATGCAAACTTTACCTGGAGCAATTATAATTTTCTCTACCAGTAATAAGAATAAGAACATCATGATTCTCAACTGGAACCCATTCCTTGTATCATGTTTGCCCCTCTTTCAGGCCGGTGACTGAGCAAGGGCAGGTCTCTACATAGGAAACACCACTACAGCAGTGAGATCAAAGGCACCTTCTGTGTCTTTGGAGTGACCAAAGGGATAGAATTAAATTCCCTGACCTTTCAGCCTTTATCTATTGGACTAGAGTGTTTGGATTAATGTAGACCATAGTCTGCTGCTTAACTTAATCATGCTGTTCAGGAAATGATACACAGCATATATACATCAACTTCCTTGGAATAAAACTAGAAATCAGTAGGGAAAGAAATTTGGGAAACTCATACATTTGTGGAAGTTAAACAATACAGTTTTAAGTGACCAGTGAGTCAAAGCAGGAATCAAAAGGGCAACAAGAAATTGTTTTGAGATGAACAAATAGATGACATGATATACCAAAACACAGGATGTAGCCAACACCAGTGCTCAGAGGGAAATTTATAGCTGTAATGTCTAAATTTAAAAGAAGAAAATATCTCAAACTGATAATAACCATTTACACCACAAAACACTAAAAGACAAAGAGCAAATGAAACCTAAAACCAGCAAAAGAAAGAAAACAACAAAGACTAAAGTACAAACTCATGAAATAGAGAATAAGAAACAACAGAAAAATCGATATTATTTCTATGAAGTGTCCAGAATAGACAAATCTACAGAGGCAGACAAATCTATATTGGTTGCTTAGGGTGATGGGGTTTGTGGTTGGGGGTTGATAGCTAAAATGTATGAGGGCTCTAGATTGACAAAAACATTTAGTTTACAACAGTAATGGTCATACATATTTTTGATTATCTTATAAACAATGGAATTGTACATTTTAAGTAGATGAATTATATGATACGTGAATTCTATGTCAAGAAAGCAGTTATTTTGAAAGGGAGAAAGAAATAATAGTCCACATACTTGTTAAGAGAAATACTGGATCTAAGAAATCAAATTTTAGGAACTTCTTAACGTTTTCCACAAAGGGGTCTTTTGGATTGTTGAGAGAGTCGATGTTCACTCCAAATGATGTGCCAGTGATCACATCCATGCTGTAGGCCCCAAAGATGCTGAGTGGAGAAAGATATGGAAAATTAAAATCAGCACCTCTTACCATCCTTCCATTATACATGCAGCAAGAAACCCACATGTCCAGTTAGGACAGATAAAGAGCCACAGACTTTCAGAACTATCTGCTGAGTCATCTCCCATCAACTCCCTCAGAAGGTGGTTATCCGGTGCCAGTGATGCAGCTGGCCCTATGCTGGGGGTGATGGAGACACCAAGCTGAGTTAGACTCACCTCTGAGGTCAAGGAGCCCAGTCGTAGGAAGACAGAGACCCATTATCAGACAATTACAGTAGCATGTATTGAGTGTGGATGATATAAGATGTGTAAGCACTGTGCTTCAGCAGAACAAGAGTGGAATAATTAACTCTTTCTCGTGGATTCAAGAAAGGTGGCGTTGTCTGACTACAGACTCTGTGCCCAGAGCCGATTCCTCTTCAGCACTTTACAAAACAGCAACATCCTGTTCTGAGTTCCTAGAAATATCATCCTTTATTCTCTACAATCCCTGCTAAAGCTCTGGAAAACCCCACTGTCCCCATCTCCTCTGACCTGAAGTTGCCCTGAGAGCAGAGTCATTTTTGTAAGAAGTGACAATCAAGAATGTTCTGGTTAAAAAAAATAGATCTCTCCAACATTGATTTGGAGAATCCTATAGCTGAGTGACCACATGTCCCAAGTGTGACCAGGACAGGCTCAGATTACACTTGTCGTTCTTGCATAATTGAAGCACATACAGGTGTAGACAGCAAATAATAGGCTTGCCTTACATATAGCATTTCTAGCACCCTTTCTTTTTTGAGATTGGAGGAAAAGGAAGTAGTGGGAAGGTTTAATAGTTCGTAGTTTGCTGATATTCTCAGAAAAACCATGAAGGGATTGAAATTGTTCCAAGTTCCCCATTGTAACTTTCCCATCTTACCCAATGCAAGGCAACAAGTACCAAATGCTTGCTTACCCACAGTTCTATATCCACTACACTCAACACTTTGATACGATCATGTTTTTTTATTTCTAAAGTATGTATTTAATCTCCCAGAATATTTATGGTGACAAGTTAACAGATAAGTAAATCCTGGCTCCTGTGCACACGAGAGAAGGCCGTTTTCCCCTGCTGACTTGCCTTCTCACAGGGGCCACTCCCTCTTAGGTGTCTCTCTGGAGTTGCAGCACTGCCCTGCTTTTGTCTGGTCACTGCAGTAAGCCAACAGTGGGACTGTTGACTCCATGGCAGGCAGCTGGAAGGGCTCATGACAGCTCAGAACCCCATGGCTGTGCTCCTACTTACTCTTTCAGGGTGACAGGCTTGCCTTTCTCTGCTTCCCGCCTCAAGTTTCTCACCAACACATCTCCATACTGGGCAATGATGGGGAACATCTAAGCACAAAACAGATCACTACCTGTAGTTAAGTGTGCAGACTCAAGTCCCAGAAGGACATGGCTTTCTCCAGCACGGAGCTGTAAGTGACATTTTATAATGAATTTTGTGATGTCTTTTCTGTACATAAAGATAAAAGACCATTTTTAGGAAGCTTGAACTCAGTGGACTACCCCTTGGAAATGGACTGTGATCTTACTTTCTACCTGTCCCCAGATTCATTCTTTACATTTCTAATTAAAACTCATCTTGTTTTCATACCTCCTTGAGTTTTCCGCTGGTGAAGGTTGGAGACAGCAATGACCGTATTCTCTTCCATTCTTCATCCTCAGCTATAGAGATGGCACTTTTCATAAGTCCCACTGGACCTAAAGGCTAGAGTTCAAAGTGGAAACGTTTTGTCTCACATTACTTGTGGTGATCTTCATGGTTGCACAAAATATGTTGAAGAGGCATCACTTATTTAACAAATATTTATTGACTGTATATGATGTTATGGCAGGCCACATCCAAGATGCTCAATAGAGATCCTAGATATCTAGCCTCTTCTGAGTGTATGTGGGGCAGGGGTGGGAGTTTGGAGACCCAGCCATCTGGTGTGGTCTCCTGCCTCTCTATCTCAGTCTCCTTTTAAGTGCAAATGCTCCACGTGGTAGGGAACTGTTCTTCCAGTGGAATAGACAGGAACAAGACCTAGCCCTTCCTCTGAGTGTGCAGAGTAGAAAAGGATTGGTGACAGATGGGCAGACTGTATGTTGCCTCAAACCAGCTCTGTCTTTAATACACCTACAGCATGGGCGACCTGAAAAAGTTATGCTATGATGTGGTGATTTTTTAGAAACGTAGGTAATACTTAAGACCAGAAGCCTGTTTTGAAGGAATAATGCAATTCCATGAAAATTCTTTTCTCTTAATTTTTTTTTCCATAAATAGAAGGAAAAAGAAAGGGATAATTCTTTTTCCCAACTTGGGGCTGAACTATCAAGCCAGCATGCTTGGAACTTTCTCTTATCTTCCACAACTATGTTTTGTTTTAAAATGTATACTTCCAGCTGTCATGATAAAATCTCAATACACTAGGAAGAGAGAGACAGTTCCTTCACTTGATAAAGACAATCTATAAAAAAATCAGTTAAATCACATTTAATGATGAAGGACTGAATGATTTTCCAAGGTCAAGAAGAATTCAAAAATGCCCACTCTCAACATTCTTAATGAAGAGCATACTGGATGTCTTAATACATTAGACAAGAAAAAGAAATAAAAGGCATACAGATTGAAAAGGAAATAATAGAATTGTCTCTATTTTCAGGTGACATAATTGTCAATGTATAAAATGTCAAGGAATATACAAAAAGACTTCTAGAATGAAGTTAAGTTCTGCAAGGCTATAGGATACAAGCTCAACACACAAAATTATTCACATTTCTATGTAACAACAATCAATATCTGAAAATACAAGAAGAACAATATCATTTACAGTTACTCCAACAAAAATGAAATTTTTCTGGTATAAATCTAACAAAAGATGTACAGGATCTCCATGCTGAAAACTACAAAATGTTCAGGAAAGAAACAAAAGCTAAAGAAATGGAGAGGCATACTATATTCATGGAATGAGACTGAACATCATAAAGATACAGATTATACCCAGGTTGTTCTATTGGTTTAATTCAAGCTTGTCCAACTTGTGACCTGCAGGCCTCATGCAGTCCAGGATGGCTTTGAATATAGCCCAATACAAATTTGGAAACTTTCTTAAAACATTTTGAGTTTTTTTGCGATTTCTTTTGGTAATTTTGTAATTTGACTATGCGATTCTCAAGGGTGAACTTTGTAGACGACAATGGAATGGAAAGGTATAATCAGAGTATGTCACATCCACAAATAATGGACTAGTATCCATAATTTGCATTGTAATTACAAACAGTTCAGCTAGAAGAAATGAAAAACCTTTAAAATTAACTAACAAAATAAAGAGCAAGAGGACGCTATTGCAATGCTACGTGAAGTGAATTGTGACAAAGAATTCAAGTGTGTATTCTGGACAAGGCAGAGCGCTGCTGTACAGCAGACACTCTCGCCATTTGTATGCATGTGTGGCTTCAGTTTTATGGTGGTGTACGACTTCCAGTGTGTTACCTACCAATCATGGACAGTTGAATTGACACCATCAGATATTAGGTGTGTTTGTGGTGACTTGGCAAGTAAAACACAGTGATTATCAATAATATTTCAACCTACTTTTGTAAATGATAGGTGTTTAATATTATTTAGAAGACATGTAAGTATTCTTATTTGATTATTAAACCTTGCTTTCTATTTTCCTATGTTAATTTTCATAATAAAAGTAAATATAGTTGCTTATCTATTATAATGCTTTTAATTCCAGAATGGCTTCCGCAATGTCTTAAAAAGAAAACAGAACCCTAAAAAGGAAAATTATGGATGAAGGAAGATTGTTCAATGAAAAGTGGACAAATGACTATTTTTCTTGCTGAGGCAAATAGCGAAGCACTCTGCTTAATTTCTATGGAATTTGTGCGAGTTTTCAAAGACTACAGTTTGAAGAGGCATTATATGCAAAAACCTGCTGACAAATTTGGTGTGTATGTGTTGTAAGGACAAAATAGCAGAACTGAAAAAAAGTCTCTTTTCAACAGAAAAGATATTTAAAATAGTTACAACTCAAACGAACTCTATTGTAAGGTAAAAGCTAGTTATGTGTTAGCAAATTTAATAGCAAAAAAATCAAAACCATTTACTGATGGTGAGTTTATTAAGCAATGTATGGAAGATGTGGTAGATATTATTTGCCTTTAGAAACTGATATTTCTAAAATCAGTTTGTCTCTCCAGACTATAGCCAGGAGGATTGAAGAAATTGGGAAATCTATTGAAAGATGTTTGGAGAGTAAAACTGCTAATTTAAAATTGTATGCTTTGGTGATGGATGAAGGCACTGACTGACACTACAGATACGGCACAACTTGCTATTTTTATTGGAGGTATTGATGATGAATATAATGTCACTGAAGAAATGGAAATGTCACTGTGCCATTAAAAGACACAGCTAAATCAAGAGATTTATACAAAGCAATGAAAAATACGTTAAAGCGATTTTCTTTGTCCATTGTAAACATATCTGATATAGCTACAGATGGTGCCCTGGCGATGGTAGGTGAAAGAGAGGGGCTTGTATAATTAATAGAAGATGATGCAATTGCCGCACAAAACTCACGTTTGATTAGGTATTATTGCATAATACATCAAGAAAATCCATGTGCACAAGCTTTAAAAATGGATAACGTCATGCCAATTGTCATGAAGGCTGTAAATTTTACAAGGGCCCAGGGATTGAATCATCGCTAGTTCCAGGAATTCCTTAAAAGTATGGATGCTGACTCTAGCAACGTCATTCCCTTTTTAGAAGTAAGACAGTTAAGTCAAGGCGAAATGTAAAGATTTTATGCTTTGTGATGTGAAATCAAGCCGTTTATGGTATCAAACACAAAATTTGTGCCAGAACTTGCCAATGAAAACTGGCTTACAGACTTAGTATTTGTAGTGGATTTGACAGCCCATTTAAGTGAGTTAAACCTGTGTCTTCAAGGTGAAAACCAACTTAATAATACAATGTTTCAAACCATAACAGCATTCCAAATGAAACTGAAATTATGGCAAGCTCAATTAAGGCAAACAATTGAATGCATTTCAATGTGTTGGCTAAACATGGTCCTGTGAACAGCCAGAAATATGCAGCCTTGCTTTTCAATTTGATACAGGAATTTGAAAACAGGTATTTCAGGATTTCTGAAAAAATCAGTATTTTGGTATATTTATGACTCCATTTTCAGTTGACATAAATATGTTACCTGCCAATTTTCAAATGGAATGCCGAGAGCTGCAATCTGACTTTCAACTTAAAGAAAAATTTGATCATCCCTTTTTACTAGACTTTTGTGATACTATCTTCCCAATGACAAATATCCCTCACTTCACAATTCATGTCATTGCTTTTTGGCAGCACTTACATTTGTGAGCTACTATTTTCAAGGATGAAGAACATGAAGAGTAAAACTAGAACCAAAATATCTGATGAGCACCTTGAGAACTCACTGGGAATTGCAACTACTTCCATCAAGCCAGATACTGATGCATTAGTTTCTCAAAAACAATGTCAGGTACTCCACTGGTTTTATGTTGTCCTCTTTCTTTTATAATAAGAAATATCAAAAATAGTGAAGTTTTTTTTTTTTAGTTAGATATGTAAATTTTCTATATCAGTGATTGCAAACTTGGGACTGTTCAATGATTTTGAAAGATCCTCTGAATGGGGCTGTGAATAATTAGGATTATTATGTGAGGACATTTTTGCTTATCTGTGGTGGTAGATATAATGAAAACTATAAACGGATCTTTTGTGTGTGTGTGTGTATGTGTGTGTGTGTGTGTTAGTGTATTTTATGTGTGGCCCAAGACAATTCTTCCACTGTGGCCCAGGGAAGCCAAAAGATTAAATACCTCTGCTTTCATTCAGTTCTTATCAAAATTATGGCTGGTTTGTTTGTAGACACTTATAAGCTTATTCTGAATTTTTATGGAAAGGCAAGGGATAAGAAAAGCTAAAACTATTTTGAAAACATAAATCAATGAAGTAGAAAGAATTGCTCTATATGATGTTAAGAGTTACTGTACAGCTACTAGAGTCACCACAGTGTGGTATTGGTGGAGGAGTAAACACAGTCATCAATGGGACAGAGTAAACAATAAGAAATAGATGCACAAAGTATGCTCAGCTGATTTTTGACAATATGCCTACCTTTCCAAGATGGTGTTGGAACATTTGGACAACCATAGTCCACAAAAAATGAACTTTGATCTAAATCTGATAACTTATGCAATTATTAACACAAAATGGGTAATAGAGTTACATTTTGTAAAGTGTTAAACTATGTAACTCTTAGAAAAAGCAATGTAGAAAGGAGGGCTAAGCAAAGGATTTTCAGACTTGACACCAAAATAACAATCCATAAAAGGAAATATTAATACATTGGCCTCCTCAAATAAAAAGTTTGCTGTGATACAGACCCTGTCAGAGAAAAAGACAAACTCCATGTTGTGACTGTAGGCTAGCAGGAGGGAGCCACATGGTGACGGAATGGGTCTGCATCTTGATGGTGCTGGTCACTGCACAAATTTACGAATGTGAAAAATTTGCTTAGAACTACACACACATAAACACACACAAACGAGGGCATGTAAAACTGGTGAAATCTGAATAAGCTCTGTAAACTATATCAAAGTCAATTTCCTGTACTATAGTATTAGGTGGGTGCAAAGGTTATTTCAGTTTGCCATTTTAACTTTTGCACCAACCTAATATGAATATACTATATTTATAGTTAACGCAGGATTGCAAGATGTTACCATTGTAGGGGACAGGATGAAGAGTACATAGAACCTTCCTGTCCATTTTTTATGTAACTTTTTGTGGATATATAAGTTTTTTCAAAATAAAAATTTAATCAATGGATCAATCATTATTTAAGTTTCAAGAAATGGATGCTTACCCTTCGATTTGTGAAGACAGAATAACATTCTTTCACTAGCACTGTTTTGATCATGTCGGGATCTGTGATGGTCAGCACAGGGAGTTGACCATCTTGCGTTCTGTGTGGGGACAACAGAGCTGATTAAACTTCACTAGCCCGATTCTACAGCTGGAGCCACACCCAGGAAGCCAGACTTTGATCCTGATGTCATGTAACCCATGCCCCTAGTTGTACAACACACAGCAACCTTAGGTTCTAGTTCATTAGGGTGTGACACACAGCAAGAGACTGACACAGGAGCCACCCAAGTCTTCATACGATGAAGGGTAATGTGGCCCAAACAGGGAAGAGACATTGCAAGACCAAAGAGCTCTTTGAAGACATCATGGTTAGAAATGACAGTACAGCATTTGTTAAGCTGGATGGTGCATACGTGGGTATTTCCTATGCCACTCTCCATAATGTTTTATATGTTTAAAATACTTCATTATCAATAATATTAGGTCAGTGAAAAATTGAAGGCAGGTAAATCATCAGATCCCCAAAGAGTAAATGTTGCAAGGGGCAGTTGGTGTGGGGACCACGGACATCCAGAGCTGTGTGTTCTTTCTACTCAGTCGTGTTGCCTGTATGGGCTGTGCCAACTCCACAGCACCCTACAGCCATCGCTGCAGTTTCTGAGGACTTGATGAGAGAAGATGAAGAAGTACAAAGAGGCAAAGCCTTCTCTCGCTTGCTTCTAGTGAACGAACACACCACTGCACCTCTTCCACTGCTCTCACCAAAACTCTAGCCCCGCTGACAGGGAACAGCTGCTGCAGTTGGCTGAGGCCACCTTATAAAATCACAGCCCATCAGCCCACCAGGAACACAATGGTTTAAGAATATTCAGCATTTCTTCTTCAAAGTAAGCAAAATGGTATGAACCAATAAATGCTTGTATATCCTTCTATTAAAAAGTCTTGGCTTAAATTTAAACAACAAAGCGGAACAAAAAGTTCCATACTTGCAGAGAAAGTTTTAAAAAGGGGAGCATAAATGGTTTCCCAATCTGTTTCTCTACTATTTCTCAACCCTTCTTTCAAGAGCATGTTAGATTCAAAGTCTAAATGAAAGAGTTTTGGCTTTTAAATGAAAGTGAATCGATATGGGAAGGAGATGATGCCATGCATTTATGAGCACATATTAGAAGGGTCAGAGACAATACATGTGATAAAAGGGCACCTAAGGAAGAAAAAAAGAAGAGGGGGATAGGCAGACACTGGACAGAAGGCGATGCGGGGAGTCCCCTGGGCCTCCAAAGCCTGGAGAAAGGTGGTTACAACAATGCTCCCAGCCTAGTTCAGATTGAAGACCTTGACACCTGGTGACACATGGGATCCTTGGTAGGACAAGCCTCGAAAAATTTTACGATAGCGAGTGTGAACGTTATCAGAACCAAAGTGACGTCACTAATTGTTTTTTAACCCTGACAAATAAATCCCAAGAAGGCTGTGAAGAGAGGATTCTCATGCTTGTGTTCCTGGAAACAAAACTATTACAAAAGTCTCTACAAAAACCACAACTTTGCACAAAGTCCATTTCAACTTTACACAAAAATATTTCTGCAAGGACACCTGCCCAGCAACTGCCTGTCCAACCTTGGTGTGGCATCACCCTTGTTATTGATCTTTGTAGCTAACAGTAATTACCTCAAAACAGTTATGAGATTCTCCTCACATTTTCCTTGGAGCATCTTTGTCTTGTTTACCTCCCTGAATTTGCACATCATTTATAATGGCAAGCAGATTCCCATTGCAATATTCTACTCCCAAATAATTATCCTCTTCTTTCAGACAACCTCTCTCTTATTTGGGTTGGCAAGAGCTTCATCCCGTGAAGCCCTGGGCAGAGACTATCCTCTTTGCAGTGGGTAACCCTATCACGGCAGCAGGTCTATCCAATGGAGGTTTCCAGAGTACTCACCTCCACATTTTTCCATACTTTTTATAACATTCTGTGTCAAATTTCCAGATACCCTGGGAGAAGAAACAAAATACAATTTGATTATTATTTTAAATAGAGTGAACCCTACCTCTAATTGGGGCTGAAAACAGTTGCATCCAGTGAAATCAGGCCTCAGACCTGCTATCTTTCACTGGCAGTTGGAGGAAGCTTATTCAGAGAGGTCTTAAGGGAAAGGCAAGAAAACAGAGGATATATTTGAAGTGGGGAATTTAAAGTCACTCTTGAATTTTCTCCAAGTACTGAAGGACTCGCCCTTATCTATGACTAGTAATTCCTTGTCTTTCTGATGTATTTTTGCTTTTTCTTTTATTCTCTCGAAAGTCTCCTAACCTCCTGAATGATCACCTGCAAAGGCAGGGGTGAAACTGAGGCTGAGGAAAAGTGAGTGTCTGCAGGGAATGCAAAATTTTTTTGTCTCCTCCATCAGCATCCTTTTCATTTATCTCATGTGCTCTCTCCAGAATTCTAGCAGAATTAGAAAGTTAAAGAAACCAGGGGCCTCTTTTCGTCTTGCAGATTTAGATAAGTCTAAGGCATGTTGTTGAGTGAGAAAATGAGTGAGTGAGTGAGTGAATGAGAAAGTAGACTTCCTTTCCAGTTTTCTAGCTTAACACAGAAAAGATGGAGAAGTGCCACCTCTACAGATCACACCCAATTACAATGCGTGCTCTGAGCTTTCACTTCTGAAATGTAAAAACAAACCTTCTTGTTGCTAAGATCCAGCTATGATGTTTTAACTGTGCAAAAGAAGGTCCCAGAAATGTCGATCTACTGTAAGAGTTGATCTGGGAAAGACGAAGAAGAAATTACTGCTTTTATTGAGAGTAAAATGGTATAGAATTCTCAGACAGTAATCAGACAACAGAGGCCTCAGTTGTGAGTGTTAGAATCTGAGAAACAAGCTTCAGGTATACAGGATAGGAAATCTGGGCTGGAGAGCAGCTTGCTGGTGCTGGCCTTCTGGGCATGAGCTCGTGACTTTCCCTCCAGGGGCCAGACCCTGGGCAAAGCATCGGACCAGGGTAGCCACAAAGGCTCGGCCACAGTTTACAGTCCATGTGGCACATATGACATTCTGTTCAGTAAAATTAAATATTTAATAATTTTGTCAGCTATTTCCTTTCTAATGATTTTGCATAAGTGTTCGCACCTTTGTGTAAAAAACAAACAAACAACAACAAAAAACACCAAATTCATTTTCTGCTTAAATATCTGAGGTTGATGGACAACCACCATCTCATCTCAGTTACATCCACTCCCTGCTCAGACTCACCCATAGGGTGCAGCCTTTGAAGGAAAAGAAGTAAAGCAGAACCCTCTTGTTCTTTCTCTCAAATCTGCAAAAGATGTTATAACAGCTGGGATAGAGCTATGGAAATATGCCTAGAGAGTTTAGCAGTTCTTGAGAGAATTCAAATAGGTGCAAATTACCTGATGGTGAATATTTAGGTTGCCTAATAAACTAAAGTTTCAAAGTTGTCCAGGAGGAAGGGGAAAAAAAGACTGCTCATGAGCTCTTGCTACAAAGAGCCAAGTTTGAATCTGGTACACACAGCTAATGAGCCACTACCAGTGCCCCCCTTCCTGCTTTTCTCTTAATACTAACTAAGTATGACTATACCTTCCTGGGAACCTGCAAGGAGCAAAAAGAAAATCCTCTTTATGGTGCCACAAAGTCTGCACATCAAGTCCTGAACATCAAGTGCTGATCTGCCTGACATCTGGGCTATTCAACTGAGGCAAACCTGAAGCTCCTGAGAGTTAGCAAGAAAGCCCTGGGGTAAACCTGGCCGTGAGCCTACACATCTTTTCTTTTCTTTTCTTTTTTCTTTTCTTTCCTTTTTTTCTTTTCTTTTTTCCTTCCCTCCCTCCCTCCCTCCCTCCTTCCCTTCTTCCCTCCCTCCCTCCCTCCCTCGCTCCATTCCTCCCTCCCTCCCTCTTTCTCCCTCCCTCCCTCCCTCCCTCCATTCTTCCCTCCCTCTCTCCCTCCCTGCTTCCTTCCTTCCCTCCTTCCTTCCTTCGTCTTGCTCTGTTGACCAAGCTGGAGTGCAGTGGTGTGATCACAACTCAATACAGCCTTGACTTCCTGGGTTCATGCAGTCCTCCCACCTCAGCATTCAGATCAGCTGGGACTACAGGCATGGGCTACCATATCATGCACAGGTAATTTTTTCTTTCTAGAGACGGAGGTCTCACTGTGTTGCCCAGGCTGGTGTCAAACTCCTGGGCTCAAGCAAGTTGCCAGCCTTGGACTCACAAAGTCTGAGATTACAGGCATGATCCACTGCACCCAGTCCCACCATTTCTGAAAATGTGAAACTTCAGAACTCCCTCCCAAGGAGGAGCATTTTTACTGATGGAACTAAGCTGATGTTTGCAACCATGAAAAGCAAAAGAGGAAGTTCAAACAACTCACCTGACGATAGGACAAAATATTTCCCAAAAAAGGCAGAGGTGTGGGCCCTGGAATTCCCTGTCTCTTAAAAAGTCCATATGAACGGGTCCCGTATCTATGAAGTGAAACAGATATCAGGTCACAGGGTTTGCGACTTTTTAGATCGGAGGGCTGCTGAGTTACCGACTCAGGAGCTGGAATGGTTACGAGAAGGAGGTAATATGTACACAATAAATAATAACAGCAACTCCAATGGCAGTCATTGCATTCACTCATCAGGTCCTTTCCTGACTCTACTCTGAGACCCCCAAAAGTCTCAATGATTAGCTGAAAGCAGCTGAAGTCTTCATAGTCCCAGTCCTGGAGTGAATACTTGAGAAATGTCCTCAAATGCTCCTGAGAGGTTCAGGCAGGAATTCTTCCAGGACACTTCATTCTCTTATATCTATTTAGTAAGTGGACTCTTCCCTGATTTGGGGATTCTCATCCTAGGTAGAAAGGGTGAGACTTTTTTTGTCTTCTGCATTGATGATGAGATTTTGCATCGCTGTATCCACTCAATCACAGGTCACCGAGAGCCTATTCTGACACTGCCCTTACAATTTGCTCAGAAACTTTTATGCTTTTTCTTCCCTCTCATCTCTCTGACCCTGTTTTAGGATCTAGCCCTTAAACCTTCATTCACAGAGAGGCCTTGGAGGAGTCATGGAGTCCTTATTTCTACAGATTGACAACTGTGTTCATGGCATCTATTGGCCTTATAGAAATGTGGGCAGCTCTCAGCTACACCTCAGTCTCTGATTTGAACTATTGAGGAGATAGTTGACCCATATATCCTTGAACGATGGTGTGCAGAAGAACCAACAACTAATACTTCTCAGGTAATACTCACCTGAGAAGCACAGTGCCAGGCACACTCATCTTTTCCAAGGTGGTCAATCGAAAACAGTCAGTTCACTGCCTCTGTACATGAAGTATCTCTGAGGAAAAACTCATTAAGCCTGGTGTTCACTATGGCAGGCCTGCCTGCAACTCATCTTTCATGAGTCATGCAAACTCCTCCCACTGATGGTTCTGGATCCTTGCAGATCTTCCCCCTTTACTGTGACTGAGGGATGGAAAACTGGAGGAAGAAGAGAGGCTGAAGGATGAGGTTGCCAGACACTGATTCAGCTGTGAAGCTGTTAGCCCCACAAGGTTGACTCCACAGAGGCAAACTACAAAAATGTAGTTGAAAAAGATGACGTGCATAAAAGAATCCACATGCCTCATATGTACCTTCAGCTAAAAGACAGGGAGGGACCTTCCAAAGTCCAGGTACTTTCCTGTTGATAGCAAAAGATGCAGTATGGCATATAAGAGAAGTAATGATAAAACGTCCCAGAGAGTTGTATTAAGACCTTGCTTACTCCTCTTGAGAGGTTAGCCTTCAAGGCAGTATAGGTTCCAAACATTTTGTAACCATCCAGTGACTTATAAAATGTGATAAAAGAAAACTAAGAAATTTCATGAAGGGCAGGGTTTGGAGGACTCAGCCGGGGCAGCATGGGCAGGCCCAGTCATACATTTGGTTCCCTGCCCTAGAACAGTTAGTGGAAGTGCTTGCACCACCTGCCAAAACCAGGGTGGCCCTGGGTATTCCCACTTCAGTTCCCTCCTTTGTTGTCACAGCCATGTCAAATCAATGACACTAATCTCTGCTCCTGAACTTTAAACATGTTACCTGACCTCTCAGGTGAGGACAAGCTATTGAGTTAATGTGTCAGCAGCATTGGTGCCCAAGGAAGGATCATGGTGAGTATATAGACTCACATGATACCATATCAAGGCAGACGCTGGGCTGGTCGAACTCTTTAGTTTCTTTTCAGCTCCCCTCTGTTTGGTGGAGTAATGCTGCTTTTGGTTCCAATGAAGAGGCTAACAGAAAAGCCAGTCATCTAGTGCATGTAATTGTGTTGGCCTAAGGAGTACCTGATCTACACTGCAGTTTCTGACTCCTGGGCTGCACCAGCATCATCTAAGGCAAAGGTATTGTCTGCCTGGCTGCCCAAATCTGTAGTGACAGCCCACAACATGGCAGACCACACACAGAGTGACACAGATGGTGCCCCTGTGTCCAGGCTTGAAGCAGATGAGATGCCAACTGGTTTACCCTTTGAGTGACGTCCACTGTGGGGCCAGGACCCATGACTACCTCTTTGCAGTTGTACCCTGAGAGCTGAGGAATATTTTCTCACTTCATACTGATCCTACCTGGATGCCTTTGCTATTGTCACTGGCTCGCAGTCTTGCTTACTCCCCTGCCCTGAGAGTTTAAGCTAATCTGCTAGGCAGGTATTTTCGAAAAGGAGGTATTAAAAGAAATGGCCGGGCAGGTATATTTAAAAAGACATTTGTGCAGTCTTGTCTTAGAGGTATCCATTCGTGCATTAGACTAATATTTCTGACATTTAGGAAAGGTGACATTATTTTACACACATTTATTGTCACAAATACTGAACTAACAGCCCTCTTTTATCATCCAGAAGGAACATGCTGGAAATAGTCTATCTCCAAAAATTCTGGTTTAAATAGGAATGATTTTAAATCATATCAATTCATTTAAAAATGTTAGACAATGGAAACCATGTTGCCACAACTCACTGAACTCCTAAGCTTTCTGTGAAAGAATTAAAATGAGGTTTATGTTTTCTATTTTCATGTCATTGTGGTTCCCTAGTCTTAGTAAAAGTCAAATTGAGGTAGAAGTCAAATGTGACAGGTCGAACCTCCACTACCCACAGTGGAAAGTAACTCTTCTCTCCACCTGCTCTAGGATGCCAGGAATCCCACCAGTGAGAGGGTTCATCCTCCTGTACTGTAACATAAAGGTGAAAACATGTACAATCCAAATTGGCTTTCATGGCTCCTGCCTTTTCAGGCTGCTAGCAGATTCCCATTAGGTGAGAAACAAAGCTGTATATTAATCCTAGCCTCCCAGAAACCAGAGGAAAAAGATTAAAGCAAAGAATAAATCTTCAGAACTTCCTCCAAGTCTCCTTTGCCCTAGAGATTAATCATTGCAAGATGAATAGTTCTGTGTATGACAGGGTGGAAGAGTGAGTCATAGGAGGGAGGGGATTTTCAGGGGCATGGCACAGGAAAGAGGGAAGAGCCAAGGGACAGCTTCCCCTGAAGTATTGGTGTTCTCTGGTGCATTATGTAAATGATGTCCTGGGGTGGAAGGCAGGAGAGCAGGAACCACCGGGTTCACAGGGGACAATACATCTACACCCCCTTCCAGCAGACACAGAACCCAGAAAACAAAGATAAAGTGACAAAAACGCAAGCCACTCCCTCCTGCCCCCAGAAGCCCCAGAGCCTGGGAAGGGGATGAGGATCACACTGCCCGTCGTGATCAGTAGTTTGTAATCTGCCTCTGCCATGTTTTCATTGATTAGTCTTTGTGAAATCTAAGGTAATCCGATCATTCCGACTACCAAATGCTGTCCCTAAACCCTCCTAATCACCAAAATTAGAGGGTGGGTAGGAGAAATGCTTACTTATTCATTCATAGATCTGCATAAGATCAATAATAACCTCTCTATGTTTGTAGCGTCCAACAATTGTACTACTTCTCCTTGAACATCTCTTTTGATCTTCTAAGCAGATAAGGGAAAGGGGGCCGGATTAGCACCCCAAGTCCAAGGAAACAGAGGAGAGGAGCCT